CTTTCGTGCATAAGCGAACACAAACAGGCACATAGAAATACAGAGACAGACACACTCACATGCATCGAAGTTGACATATCACCTCAATTAACCAAATCACTTTATACTTGATCAAATAGTCCAGGTGTAGAGTATATATACTACTTTTTAGGGATTTGCCGGTGAGTTTTCTTGACTCGTTAGCTTGATTTTCACCCAATAATTTCACTCGAAATGGAAGTAAGCTCAACAATTATGAAACAAGAGATTCCTCGAAACCCAACTTTTCTTCGAATAAAACTTATTACAAACAATTTTGACACACCATACCTGAATTCATTTTGTCTTAAATAATTTCTATAATGCTACAACTAGCTTCAAGATGATGTGGCCTGGTCCTTTATAAATTTCATATGCCTGTTGTTACATACATTCAGTACATAACTTCTATTAAGCATTTTCGAGTTCTTACAACCTGTAGTTAATGGTTTCTACAGTCATTTTTAGATTAATTACTCTTAACTTTCCTTTAAGAACATTTTTTAGCCTTGTTTAGCACTAGGGTCAAGAAGTCGGGGTCTATCACCAAGTACTGTGTTAATTTCATCATGTATATAAAACAAATTTAAATTTTTACTCAGTTGATAACAAGGTTGGTCAACTAAAGTTTGTTTGTATTTGTCGGCAGTCAAAACGACTCAATATCTGGTGTGACTACCTTTTATCTTATTGATATTTGGGATTGCTGTAAGCCAGATGGTCTTGTGTGAGATCTTGACAGAAGGCTATATCACACTATTTTGTATAAATGAGGTGAAGCGAACAGCGCTAATTAAGTAGTCATCATTTTTTAACGATTAATCTTGGAACAAATTATCTCAAACTTCCTAATAATATTTTATTAATACTTTGTTGCCTAAATTTAGTGTCTAAGAGCTGTACTCATCCTGGGTCACATTAGGCATTGAAGAACTAATGGTTATATTTTACCATAATGATATTAGTAGGCCCCTCGATGTCATTACATTTCACTTAACCATTATATTCAAAGGATATTCTCATCTTTGGTTATACCGCAGTTTTGATTTAACAATCTATAAATGTGATACGGGTAACGTTGAGCCACCTTGAAAGTCGCGTCGGTTCTACGGCCCATTGGCACCCGTGACAGTATTCCATAGTGATAACGTCGAAAACAAACGCTACATTACCCGGATTCGTTTCCATTTGGGTTGCTGACGAGACTAAAGTGAGGTCGAATGTACAATCAACCCTGGATGAAAATACCTTTTAATAGGCAATTTTAAGTTAATTCATTGTCCCTGTGAATCCTACTCGTATTAGTCTTTCATCGCCTTATGCAAATTAGCGTAATTGCAGTTCTTATTTGAAATCTACTAATTCGAAACACTTGAAACAATTAAGTAGGAATGTTACAGCATTTATTCAGTTGTCGTTAATATTATAAACTATTAACAATTCCTTTTTTCACTAATTTAGGGCCTCACCAGTACCTTCGAGACAGATCTGTTCGCACCCCTATTCGCTTACCTTGGGTCTTATCCTTCAACAAGTGCTGGCTCAAAGCTGTTGACCTATGCGGGAACTTTCGCCCCAGCTCGAAGATCCTCTGAGTCATGTGACATGGGTTCAAGACAAACACGGGACCCACATCAAGTCTCTCCTGGTGCGCCTGCCGTCACACACGATCCATCTACCGACCCAGGACTTTTGTCACTCTGGCACATATGGCTCGACAAGCACAGTAGTCCTGAACATCGGCATGTGAGCTCTATTGACCAGAGCACGGTGAGGGAAAGAATGTTTATAATCATGTCACTTCTAACATGGTCAACTTGTCTCAAGGCTTAAAAAGTTCCCCTTACAATGTTATCTCAGGAGATTTATCGAAATTAACTTTATCTTCGTATCTAGAATTTGAGTAGTTTTAGGTTATCTATGGTGATACAGATTTTTACACGATAAAAATATTAGAATGGCTAACGATGAAATTGAATTTCACTTGACTTTGCCTCCCATAGAGCTTCCTCATTTTGGGTGAACTTCGATCATAACCCCGTCTGCGTTTTAGCAGCATTCATTATTATTTGAAACCGGATCTTGTGGGTAAAGCGACAATTCTTTTAGCCATTTTTTGATATTTCATCTATTTATCCTTTTGCTCCATTATTATCTGACTACTTGTCTATTCTGGAATGCAAGGTGATTCAGGCCATATTTGTGCTGATTCCAGGGTGAATTCTATTGATAATTTCCTTTTCCGGATATCTATTCATCGCATTACTTAACCGTATTTCTCACTAACCATCATTTTGCACTTATATATATATATTCCAGTTTTATATCTGTTGATTTTCATCTTACCCATTTAATTGGCTATTGTTTCGTGTTAAAAATATGGAAGGTATGAAGCAATTTTTTAAATTTCTAGTCTACTTCATAATCTTGGGGTCTTTAACATTGTATTCATTTTTTTTGAAACCCTCATTTCTATATTCATGCTTCATGTCTTTGGCTATCCATAAGATATTTTATGATTTTAAAAGCTGTTCAAGCCAACCGAACTCAGAGCACTGACGCCAATTTCTGTTCAGTAAGGATTCTAATTTGCTTATTTATTTACTAGATAGAATTGATCGCAGCCGATTGCTACTTTACGTTTTTGATAAGTTCGACAATTCTTAATATTTAGAATTCATTATTATATTTAGCCCTTTATACCTTTATTTATTTACGTTTTCATTCGTTTGGTTTGATTTTGCTTATTTATTAGACTAGATTTTTACTAACGATATTCTCTCTCCTGTTAGCCGCCCGAAGATCGGGGCGTTCAATTGGCTTCCAGCATATCTGAGCAATGGCGCTTGGACACTGCATGTCGTCTCGCCGTAGATCATGCTCGTGCTCTTGCCTACGCTCTCTGGGATGGCTTACTGCCTGGTCGTCAGGGCCTTAATCTGAAGCTGCGCCACCTTGTGTGGCGTGCGGCTAGGGCTCTTCATCTCACTGGCTTGGACTCCCTTAGAAGTTGTAATTCAACACTTGATTCTTCCGGTGGTCGTATTCATGCTCTCGCTGGACTTGTGTCGGAGGCCGCTCAGCTTGCTATTCGGGATGCTGATGTGTTTACTTCAAGCCGCTCCATAATTACAGGTCCAAGTGCAAGAAGCCCAGAACCCAAATTATCAATAAATCAGGTAAGGATTTCAAAACTTTTGTCCTATGGTGTTTTTTAAGGAAATCAATTAAAAATAGAGAATATTTATACACAAAATATATTTGTACAAGTTCCGTATTCTCACCCTTTTTCTTCAAATAATATTTAATCCTGCTACCTATGTTATTAACTTCCTTGTCTTAAAAAATTAAGGACTATTGTCTTTTTCTAAGGTCCTGGAATATTCTACTTAGAATATGTTAATTTTTGATTTAGCTTCCATTTTTCTGCAGCTACTTACTAACTGACCATGGAGTACACTATTTTGTTGTGGTAAACGTAACCATAAGCAGATAAGAAGACCAAGATGTTGTAGCCTCTGTTTGGATCGCAGTCTCCTTTCGACATATAAAGGAAGTTGTCTGACCTCGTTTTCGCAACTTGTTTATTTTTAGGGTGACTTAGTGTGGCACCTTGTTTCCGACTCGTAGCTTGTTGCTAAGAGAAGCAAGACCTATTGATGATGCCGGCAAAAAGTCAACGGTTCAGCGCTGGTGATTATTATAACTTCCTTAGCAGAAGACTTCGGACAAGGTGATCTCAACTAGGTCACCCTGACAACCAGACCAAGTTGCGAATACAAGGTCAGACCACTTCTTAACTATATATACTTACGCCATCTGATTCGAGTCCCTATGCGAATAGGGATATAACTTAATATGAGTGACTCGGCCTATTGATACATCGTCGAAGCTTATAATGCAAATTAGTCTTCATATCAAAGGAGTAAAAATACTGGCAAATAATAATTCTAAAAGTAAGCCAAGCCTCATGAATGCTTTTTGAGATTCATTTACTACGACTCAGTGCTCCCAAATTCTCTGTTTAGTGAATGTGTACTTTCCAAGGCTACCCATTGCAAGTATGGGAGCGCATCCATAATTGAAAATGGTAATCACTGCCGGTTCGATATAGCTTTATCATAGGTTTTAATTATTCACCTTTTCGCTATCCCTTTTTAGCAAATTTCCTTTGCTACATTTATCTAATAGATCTGAAAATGTATTACAAAAGCTCTGATTTGCCACCTATAATAATATTCATTTGCATTAATTTAAGCAGTTAATTTGATCTGGAAATATCTAACTATCCTATAAGGTGGTGGTTCCCAAACTTTTCCTAGTCGCAGTGCCCTTTTAAATTAAAATTTTTCAATGGCTCCCTACCCTAAGTAGGACTATTCGTAAGTAAGAGAAGAAAATAAATAAAACTCGTGTATCTTCATTATTTTTTTTTACTTCATCAACATTAAATTAATATTTAATAATTAATGTGATGGATAAGCCTGCAAATCATTGCACATTTTATTAAATTGAAGCTTTTACAATATATTTGCGGCGCCCCTGTAAAGAGGCTGCGGCGCACAGTTTGAAAGTCACTGCCCTAAGGAACGATATAAAACCAATGAAACTTTATATTGAAGTTTGACCTTGTTTTCGCAACTTGGTCATAATGGTAGGAAGACTTATAGAAAAGCACCTTGTCCTGAGTC